TCCAGGGGAGTTTCAGGTGTGGCAATCATGGACACTGGGCCAAAGCGTGCCCCAATCCTCGACCACCACACAAACCATGTCCCACCTGCAGACAATGGGGACATTGGAGGACAGACTGCCCTGAGGGGTGGCCACCCCAACCCTCGGTACAGCTATCCTCAAACCTCGAAGACACATACCCTTAGTTATTAGAATGAGGGGGCCAAGACTCTGCTGCCCTTGTCACCAAGCGTGGGGATCCTGAGGAGCCCAGGGTCACAGGGACAGTGGCTGGCCAAACTATTTCTTTTGTGGTCGACACTGGGGCATCTCTCTTACTTCCAACATGCTGGTCTGGACCATCTATTGAGAGCCCTCAACCTATCATGGGAGTGTCAGGATCCATTTCCTACCCCTGAAAAACCTAACCCCTCTTATGCTCATTTGGAAATATAACCTTTACTCATTCCTTCATTATAGTTCCCCAATGCCCAGTTCCCTTAGCAGGATGAGACATCCTTCATAAGCTAGGAGCCTCCATTTATCTTCCCCCTTTAAATACCACAACCATGTTCTTACTTCACACCCAGACTGATCTATCTGTCTCTAAACCTCCCCATACCAAACCCTCCCCTCCCCTCCCATCCCTGAACCCTCCCCTCTGAGATATAAATCCAGCTGTTTGGGATACCGACCATCCAGGAATAGCCCTTCATCATACGCCAGTTGTAACCAAACGTTTCCTTTGTCCTCCTCCTAATCCTTGCAAATGTATCTCTTCCACCTGGTACCCTTTCTCACCTTGACCCTAACCCTTGCGTTACCTGACTATCTCAATCAAACAATTCATTTAACCACTTCCCTCCTCATACACTTCAATTCTTTGTTGGCACCAGTGTGCTGGGACTGCCTCCATCTCTCACAAGCTGCTAACCCAGCTTTTCCAGTGTCTCTGCAAGCATGGCTCACCACACCTGCCAGATTGCACTACAATTTAGACCTGCACTCAGAATTCGAAGCATTACTTGGTGACAGCTGGAACGGAGAAGACCTATGCAAGAGGGCCAATATCAATAACTTCAAAATGGCCTTAGACACCCTCCAAGCTCACCAATGCCACATCCGTGGGCCTATCCAGACTCATGTCACCCTAGTATACCAAGCCCCTCTTTGTATCTCCTGTCAGCCCTTCCTGGGATCTTCTGAAGTTGGGTCCCTACCACAAATAGCCTGCAATTTTACATTCCCTGTCCTGGGCCCACTGGGTCACCTTAACCTTCCCCTCCAGGCTAGGGCTACATCCCAGCTTAGGATCACAACACCACCTGCAATCTCTACCACTGGAACCTCCCCAGGTAGCCTCTATTGTCAAGGGAGAAGCTCTCATCCTGACATTCCTGGAATGGGAAATAGGTGGGCATCTCCCCCAACCCTAGTGGATACAGAGGACACATGCTGTCTCCTCCCCCTAACAGAAAAGGGGTATACTCAACTTTTTATAAATCTCAATACCCTTAGGCTGATTCAAGAGACCCCCTCCCTCAATAGCAGTGCCCTTGTGACATTTAAACCCAACCACCATGAGCCTAGGACATTCAATTACCTTTTGTATAAGCGAGAGCACACCAAACGACCTGATGCAGGTAAAATCTTTCAAGTCACAAGGTTTGATATCTCTCTCCCTGCCTTGACTTTGCTTCTGGACCCTTTTGGGTATGTGGAGCAAATGTCTACCTATGTCTCCTTACCAACTGGATGGGAACGTGTGCTTTAGCATTTCTATCTCCCAAAATTAATGTCTTGACTCTAAACACCCTGATCCCTATCTCAGTGTCCCACAATACCCCAATAAGCCAGCGAAGAATGGTCCAGCTCATTCCTCTATTTACCTCTCTCGGAATCCTTTCAGGATTTGGAACAGGGACTGCTGGCCTAGGAATCTCCTTACATCACCTTACCCGGCTGTCTAAGCAATTAGCTGCCACCTTGAAGAGATCTCAAACCAATTAATCTCCCTCCAAGATCAACTTGACTCTTTAGCAGGAGTAGTACTACAGAATAGATGAGGCTTGGACCTTCTCACCACTGCCCATGGGGGGAATACGTGCTCTTCTACAAGAGCAATTCTGCTTCTATACTAACCAATCCCATCTAGTTCAAGTTGGTGCACAGCGCCTCCAAGATTTAGCCAACAAACTTCAAGTCCAAGCAACAGCATCTCCCTCCTGGTTTCTAGGAAATATCCCATCCTGGCTCATACCTCTTATAACTTCCTTTATTAGCCTACTTCTAATTTGTTCCTTTCTCCCTTGTTTTAGCAACTTAGTGCAATGCTTCTTAACCAGATGGGTGGCAGCAATTGCCCGAGCAACCACCCAAGATCATGTGAAAGCTATGTTCTTTCTCCAGACTCAACAAAGGGACAACAGAACAACATCTGCCCCTGACCAGCAGGAAGCAGTCAGATACAATGGTCCCTAGCTGCCCTTTTATATATCCCTTTAGAGTCTGGAATGAAGGACTGAACTGGCTACTCTAAACTTGGTTAAGACACCCTGAAGCCTCAAAGATGAATTCTACTTGCAGACCCCACACCCTCTCCCGCCTTGTGAAACCTCAAAGATAAATTCTGCCTGCACACTCCACATCCTCCCCCACCTTGTCAAAAGACAACCCCACTTCCTGGAAACTGCAACTCTTGCAAAACCTCGTGCAAACCAAAGGTCCCTATAAGCGGGGGCAACACTTCCCCAAGGTGCAGCTCTACTCTTCAACTGGCATTGTTCACATTGCTCCTAGAGTCATCCCTCACAGGCTTTCCTCAATAAAGCCTGCTCTGATCTGTCGAGGTCATGGTTATTTTCTACTCTTCTTACTTTCACTTTAACTTCTGTACTTCCACACTTTCCTAACAGAGGACATTATGCTGAGTTAAATAAGTCAGTCACAGAAGGACATATATTGTATTAGTCTGTTAATATAAAAAGTCAAGGAAAGGTTTATATATGGAAGGAAATTTTCTTTGTTGGTTACCAGGGGTGGGAGGACAGGGTAGGGAACACTGTTAGATAGGCAGAGACAAGTATTGATTTGGGTGAAGAGGAGGGCAATGTACCAAATGTGAGTGATTGACATGGTGGCATTGAGGAAGAGGAAGGCATAGAGAGGTACATGGGAGGTACAGACAACAAAGATGAACCCTTTTGCACATACAGTACTGCGTTGTCAGTGAAGGCAAACATGGCTATATGG